GTTCAGTCTATTTACAGACACGTGTCATGTGTAGGTTCAGTCTATTAACAGACGTGTGTCATGTGTAGGTTCAGTCTATTAACATACGTGTGTCATGTGTAGGTTCAGTCTATTTACAGACATGTGTCATGTGTAGGTTCAGTCTATTAACAGACGTGTCATGTGTAGGTTCAGTCTATTAACAGACGTGTGTCATGTGTAGGTTCAGTCTATTAACAGACGTGTGTCATGTGTAGGTTCAGTCTATTAACAGACGTGTCATGTGTAGGTTCAGTCTATTACCAGACAGGTGTCATGTGTAGGTTCAGTCTGTTAAACAGTCAGGTGTCATGTGTAGGTTCAGTCTATTACCAGACAGGTGTCATGTGTAGGTTCAGTCTCTCACCAGGCAGGTGTCATGTGTAGGTTCAGGCTCTTACCAGTCAGGTGTCTTGTGTAGGTTCAGTCTATTACCAGGCAGGTGTCATGTGTAGGTTCAGTCTATTACCAGGCAGGTGTCATGTGTAGGTTCAGTCTATTACCAGGCAGGTGTCATGTGTAGGTTCAGTCTATTACCAGACAGGTGTCATGTGTAGGTTCAGTCAATTACCAGACAGGTGTCATGTGTAGGTTCAGTCTATTACCAGGCATGTGTCATGTGTAGGTTCAGTCTATTACCAGGCATGTGTCATGTGTTTGTTCAGTTTATTACCAGACAGGTGCCACGTGTAGGTTCAGTCTCTCACCAGGCAGGTGTCATGTGTAGGTTCAGGCTCTTACCTGTCAGGTGTCTTGTGTAGGTTCAGTCTATTACCAGGCAGGTGTCATGTGTAGGTTCAGTCTATTACCAGGCAGGTGTCATGTGTAGGTTCAGTCTATTACCAGGCAGGTGTCATGTGTAGGTTCAGTCTATTTACAGACATGTGTCATGTGTAGGTTCAGTCTATTAACAGACGTGTGTCATGTGTAGGTTCAGTCTATTTACAGACGTGTGTCATGTGTAGGTTCAGTCTATTTACAGACGTGTGTCATGTGTAGGTTCAGTCTATTAACAGACGTGTCATGTGTAGGTTCAGTCTATTACCAGGCAGGTGTCATGTGTAGGTTCAGTCTATTACCAGGCAGGTGTCATGTGTAGGTTCAGTCTATTACCAGACAGGTGTCAGTGTAGGTTCAGTCTATTACCAGTCAGGTGTCATGTGTAGGTTCAGTCTATTACCAGACAGGTGTCATGTGTAGGTTCAGTCTATTACCAGACAGGTGTCATGTGTAGGTTCAGTCTATTACCAGACAGGTGTCATGTGAAGGTTCAGTCTATTACCAGGCAGGTGTCATGTGTAGGTTCAGCCATTTACCAGTCAGATGTCATGTGAGGTTCAGTCTATTACCAGACAGGTGTCATGTGTAGGTTCAGTCTATTACCAGGCAGGTGTCATGTGTAGGTTCAGTCTATTACCAGGCAGGTATCATGTGTAGGTTCAGTCTATTACCAGACAGGTGTCATGTGTAGGTTCACTCTATAACCAGACAGGTGTCATGTGTAGGTTCAGTCTGTTAAAAAGTCAGGTGTCATGTGTAGGCTCAGTCTATTTACAGACATGTGTCATGTGTAGGTTCAGTCTATTAACAGACGTGTGTCATGTGTAGGTTCAGTCTATTAACAGACGTGTGTCATGTGTAGGTTCAGTCTATTAACAGACGTGTCATGTGTAGGTTCAGTCTGTTAAACAGTCAGGTGTCATGTGTAGGTTCAGTCTATTACCAGACATGTGTCATGTGTTGGTTCAGTCTATTACCAGACAGGTGTCATGTGTAGGTTCAGTCTCTCACCAGGCAGGTGTCATGTGTAGGTTCAGGCTCTTACCAGTCAGGTGTCTTGTGTAGGTTCAGTCTATTACCAGGCAGGTGTCATGTGTAGGTTCAGTCTATTACCAGACAGGTGTCATGTGTAGGTTCAGTCTATTACCAGGCAGGTGTCATGTGTAGGTTCAGTCTATTACCAGACAGGTGTCATGTGTAGGTTCAGTCAATTACCAGACAGGTGTCGTGTGTAGGTTCAGTCTATTACCAGTCAGGTGTCATGTGTAGGTTCAGTCTATTACCAGGCAGGTGTCATGTGTAGGTTCAGTCTATTACCAGGCAGGTGTCATGTGTAGGTTCAGTCTATTACCAGACAGGTGTCATGTGTAGGTTCAGTCTATTAACAGACAGGTGTCATGTGTAGGTTCAGTCTATTACCAGACAGGTGTCATGTGAAGGTTCAGTCTATTACCAGGCAGGTGTCATGTGAAGGTTCAGTCTATTACCAGGCAGGTGTCATGTGTAGGTTCAGTCTATTACCAGTCAGATGTCATGTGAGGTTCAGTCTATTACCAGACATGTGTCATGTGTAGGTTCAGTCTATTTACAGACATGTGTCATGTGTAGGTTCAATCTATTTACAGACATGTGTCATGTGTAGGTTCAGTCTATTACCAGGCAGGTGTCATGTGTAGGTTCAGTCTATTACCAGGCAGGTGTCATGTGTAGGTTCAGTCTTTTACCAGACAGGTGTCATGTGTAGGTTCACTCTATAACCAGACAGGTGTCATGTGTAGGTTCAGTCTGTTAAAAAGTCAGGTGTCATGTGTAGGTTCAGTCTATTAACAGACATGTGTCATGTGTTGGTTCAGTCTCTTACGAGACATGTGTCATGTGTTGGTTCAGTCCACTAAGAGATATGCAGCATGAATAGGTGTGTTTATTAACAGATACGCAGAATGAATAGGTCCATTTGTTATCAGATGCAGCATGAATCTATTTATTAACAGCTGCAGCATGAATAAGTTTGTTCATGAACAAACATGAATGAGTATGCTTATTGTAGACATGAACAAGTCAACTTACTAACAGACATACAACATGTGTTAATAGTCTGGCTATTACAGACATGCAGAATGAGTAGGTCCAGACATGCAGAATGAGTAGGTCCAGCTATAACAGACATAGGGAATGAGTAGGTCCGGCTATTACAGACATGCAGAATGAGTAGGTCCGGCTATTGCAGACATGCAGAATGAGTAGGTCCAGCCATTACAGACATGCAGAATGAGTAGGTCCTGCTATTACAGACATGCAGAATGAGTAGGTCCTGCTATTTCAGACATGCAGAATGAGTAGGTCCAGCCATTACAGACATGCAGAATGAGTAGGTCCGGCTATTATAGACATGCAGAATGAGAAGGTCCGGCTATTACAGACATGCAGAATGAGTAGGCCCGACTATTACAGACATGGAGAATGAGTAGATCCGGCTATTACAGATATGCAGAATGAGCAGCTCTGGATGTTACAGACATGCAGAATGAGTAGGTCCGGCTATTACAGACATGCAGAATGAGTAGGTCCGGCTATTACAGACATGCAGAATGAGAAGGTCCGGCTATTACAGACATGCAGAATGAGTAGGTCCGGCTATTACAGACATGGAGAATGAGTAGATCTGGCTATTACAGATATGCAGAATGAGCAGCTCTAGATGTTACAGACATGCAGAATGAGTAGGTCCAGCTATTACAGACATGCAGAATGAGTAGGTTCAGACATTACAGACGTGCAGAATGAGTAGGTCCGGCTATAACAGATATGCAGAATGAGTGGGTCCGACCAGGGGTCCGGAAAATTTAAAATCCCGATCGGACATTTGCATTTAGGCCACGCCCCCTTCAAACAGCGTATTTTGGTACGACTTTTCACACACATTACAAGTTGTGTCGCAGTCATAATATGATGAATTATGAATTGTTTAAATTTAAATTGTTTAATTCACCGGACAATTAATAACAAATTATATCATTTTAGAATTACATGGAAAACTTACGTTTATTTCTGTTATAATAACGATCTGTTGACGTAGTGAACGGTCTAATTAATATTCATGAGATGTATCTACTCAAGTGTATTCGTTGTAACATTTGGATGGAGATTATATCCCATATTTGGTTACCATGTGAGCAGTCGGACCCTCCGACTATTACAGACATGCAGAATGAGTAGGCCCTGCTATTACAGACATGCAGAATGAGTAGGTCCTGCTATTACAGACATGCAGAATGAGTAGGTCCTGCTATTACAGACATGCAGAATGAGTAGGTCTGGATAGACATGCAGAATGAGTAGGCCTGACTATTACAGACATGCAGAATAAGTAGGCCCGACTATTACAGACATGCAGAATGAGTAGGCCTTGCTATTACAGACATGCAGAATGAGTAGGCCCTGCTATTACAGACATGCAGAATGAGTAGGTCCTGCTATTACAGACATGCAGAATGAGTAAGTCCTGCTATTACAGACATGCAGAATAAATAGGTCCGGATAGACATGCAGAATGAGTAGGCCCGACTATTACAGACATGCAGAATAAGTAGGTCGGGCTATTACAGACATGCAGAATGAGTAGGTCCACCCATTACAGACATGCAGAATGAGTAGGCCCTGCTATTACAGACATGCAGAATGAGTAGGTCCTGCTATTTCAGACATGCAGAATGAGTAGGTCTGGATAGACATGCAGAATGAGTAGGCCCGACTATTACAGATGCAGAATGAGTAGGCCCAACTATTACAGACATGCAGAATGAGTAGGCCCGACTATTACAGACATGCAGAATGGGTAGGTCCTGACATTACAGACATGCAGATTGAGTAGGTCCTGCTATTACAGACAAGCAGAATGAGTAGGCCCGACTATTACAGACATGCAGAATGAGTAGGCCCGACTATTACAGATGCAGAATGAGTAGGCCCGACTATTACAGACATGCATCACGAGTAGGTCTGGCTATCGCAGACATGCATCACGAGTAGGTTCGGCTATTACAGACATACAGCATATATAGATATCTACTTGTGTTCTTCCAGTGAACAGAAATTCCACCACAATGATGTACCCCATGGTGAGAGAACACTGTGATGTCAATAAGACACAATGACACATGCAACACAACAGTATACATTAACACACAACATTCAACACTTCATATAGTATTTGTATTTATTCATGAAACAATTACTTCAAAGAAACATATATTTATACACATCCCAAGGCTTAAATCTCCATACAATTTCTTTTGCAACAGATTTCTGTTGTTTAAATGACTGATTAGTCAAGATATGAACAATGGATGTTACATGTTGATAGCTATCAAATCAATATGACTGTACTTCCAACATGTATGTCATCCCTATTTTGATGATAAAACAACTATCAAGACCATATAGCAACATGAACAAAAAATAAAACATCAATTACTTCAGTATACATCTTTTCACTGAATACTGTAAATCCTGAAATAAATGCATCACCTAATTAACATGAGTGTCGCCCTGGACAAAATGTGCCACAAAATTAATGTAAGTAGCCATACCTTTGAACTTTAAAAACTAACCAGCAAACAAATTGTTAGATAGGCATTACTCAGAAGTTGACGGATGACAAAGTAGACACAATCTATGGATAACAACTTATTCAATTACTGCAAAGGCGGCGTTTCGGTATAGATCCAGTATAAGGATCTATACAGAAACGTTGCTTGACAACGGTATAAGGATCTACACCGAAACTTCGCCTTTACAGTAATTAAAGAAGTTGTTATCCATAAATTGTGTCTTCTTTGTAATCAGCAAACGATAACACCAAGACTGTAGACTTAGAATTCCATGATATAATATGGGGTGATAGCAATTCGACTAAATAATATCATTTGCTATCTTCACAAACTTCAACCGCCGACATCTGATCTAACTTCCATATGCATGAAATCAAAAGCAGGAAATTCCTAGTAAGTCATAATTAAAAGTGATTGGTCGTGTCATAGATGAAGATTGTACACGTTCCAAGTGTAGAATACAGGAGCTAGCACAATCCTTTGAACCTTAACGAGCAGGCTTGTGTATTCACTGCCAGTGCTGTTGCTTTGCTGGAAATTTTCACTCCATCAGTGAACGGTGTTTAAGGCTATTTGACAAGGTTACAAAGAATCAAAATGGCCATCATTGATCACTTTGCGTAAACAAACTGACCACACTTGACGGGGAACTCAGCACTGTCTAAATCTAGTGCTTATACATTGTTTATTGTCAGCTTTGTTGAACCTGACATGACAAGATACTCAAATATGTCCAGACAAAAATGCGTCACTTCATTAAGCAAGCAAGGGAAACTCACATTTTCCGCATTAAGTTAAAATTTAAAGTCATATCGGCAATATTTCTGCCATATCGTGACTTTCCGCATTAATTTCAGGATTGACAGTACATGCAGACCAAGTACATAGATACATCAACACTTGTATGCATGCACTAACAAGTCCTCCTGTTCAGAAGACCAGGCCTATAGTTTGGCATGACAGGTAACAATTTACACACAATATACAACAGGGACATATGGACATTATCAGCTGTTCTCCTACCATGTTGCCAAGTTACAGTGAAAAAGAAAACCGGAAATTCAACTTATTTCCAGTACTATGCACAACTGAAAAACTTATTGTAAAACAGACTTGATGATCATTTGTACAAGGCACTATCACTATCCTTCACTATCAATCTCACTCTAGAGCAACGTGGTCAACTTCCAGTGAGTAACTTACTTAATGATAAACATACCTATGTGTTCAATTACAGTCGTCCCTTGTGATAATGCTGGCCTGGGATCCGTGGACAACGACCCGTGTATCAGACACCAGCGTTCTTCCTAACATGGATGATATCATATTTTCTTGTGTGGAGTGCACACTTGAGCATGTTGAGTATAACTGCTATTTCATTTATTGTGCCCAGTCAAAAACAACATCATATGGTTTCAAGTAAACAAACAGGATATGGCAAACCTGGTCAAAGAAAATGTGAAATCATGAGACTGACCATTTCATTTACTTCGATTTGTTGATTAACATTGGGCTACTTTCTATTTGTATACACTGTATGAAGAATTCAACTTAACTGATCTGTTAAATTGATACAACACATGGTTTGTGACCATTGAGTTAAATATTCAAGATGGGGGAAGGAAAACATTGCTACTAAACCAATGCATGTACTAAACAGGTCTAACTTGTACTGATATCACAGGTACTAACAAAGATTTTGTCATTTTGGCATATGGTCAACATAAGAGAATTCATGATAACTTAAAGTTCATGACAAAGTTAATAAAGTCATTAGTTGTGTTCTGACAAATGCTTAAAGCAGCTTTTGATTATATTCTCAAGAAAGTAGTATACAAACAAGGTGATAGAAGAAAAGTGAAAATTTGTTTTGGCTCAAATTGTCATAATACATAGAACAGATTTACACAATGACACAATATATATGTTGGCTACAAGTCATGCATTTAACACTTGTGTGATTGGGCCCGTAAGTCCTAGCATCTGGACCCGACAAAACAGTGGTCAGTCACATCAACAACAATTTGTCACACAATGATCCACAACCACCCAGCTTACAGCCCACAGTCTTTGATCTAAAGTCATATTCCCACTTGACAGTCACTGACAAATCCCTCATCCAGTTGCTTCTAATGGCAAAGATTGACATTAAAAACCTTTGTCCCCAGCACCTCCAACAAGTAAGTAGGCTGAATATGTTTTGTGGAATAGCCTCAAAGAAAAAGAAATGGTCTTTCATAATATACTGAGGGAAACAAATAAGGGGACACGTGAAAATACAAATGCTCCATTGTTGTTTTCCAGGTTTTGTTCCCAAGCTATGGATGGTGAGCTATGGATGTCACTGTGAGTAAAAATCTGGGAATAAATAAAGGGACACTGCAATGAAATGGTGTTCCCTTATTTGTTTCCCTCAGTATATTTGTCCCTGTTAAGGCGAACATCTCCGCCTTTACATTATTATTTAAACCTGATTCATACAAAACTGAACATAAAAGTAAAAAATTATATCTCTTGACTAACACGGTAGCCTTGAATCCTTCCAGTTCCCAAAACTTGAAATAATATAGAACTAACATTCTGATACTGCAAGACAACCAGCAATGAATGGGGAAAGCCCACAAAGACCATTCCCCAGGAGAGGTAGAGGCCCTGACACAATGTTAATCAGATCGGGCGGTGAGGTTGGTTGTAGCTCAGGAGGTGAGCCCCGATCCTGTCATCAAGGCCGCTGCTACCGTCATTGTGGTGGCTGAGTTGGGGCTTGTTAATCCGATTGGGTGGTGAGGTTGTGTGTGGTTCAGGAAGAAAGCCCTGATGCTGTCATCAAGGATGTTGCTACCGTCACTGTGCTGGTTGAGTAGGAGGGGACTTGTTATCAGATCGGGTGGTGAGGTTGTGTGTAGTTCAGGAAGAAAGCCCTGATGCTGCCATCAAGGATGTTGCTACCGTCACTGTGCTGGTTGAGTAGGAGGGGACAAAGTGAGGTTGTGTGTGGTTCAGGAGGTGAGCTCAGATCCTGTCATCAAGGATGTTGCTACCGTCACTGTGCTGGCAGAGTCAGAAGGTGTTTGAGAGGTCTGCACCAAGGTCTTCAGGCGAGACAGGTGAACCAGAGCCCTGAAACAGAAGGACGTGTTGTCTGTGTCAACTGTACTAGCCCATCCTGACCTGAAAAACTGGCTTAACAGCTATTTGATCTTGCAGACCTGTCGGTCAGTAATATTTACTTTATCAGGTCTAAGATGATACTTGATAAGAAAAGCTAAACATCCTTTATTTTCAATGGCCTTGTGGGTTTCCCTGTATCCCCGTGTTATGGGTTTTTGGATGCTTAAGAAACATTCATATTTTTCTCGATAATCATTTGAACAACTGTAAAACATCTCACTTAAAAAAAGACGACTTTATCATAAAAACACGCCATCATCATTTTACAATGTCTGTATTATGCCACACCCCTTGTGATAGCGTGAGTAATCACGATAAACATGGCCGTCGCAAAACCTATGATCTGAGTATATATGCTGCAGCAGTAGAATCCTGCTTGTGGTGTACATACTTCTCCAGTGACTGTCCCCCGGGCTCTACCTGGAAGTTGTAGTCCTGCAGAGCTGGCAGGTCCAGGGGGTTGGTCATCGACTTGCTGGACATTGTCTGCAACACATACAGCCACCATGCATCAATCTCACATGCTTATCTTATGAATACACAGACTGTGGTGTGTACTTTGGTCGTACACTCACATACAATGCTACATTATTCAATATACAAGACAAGCTCTGGAAATAGAAAAGAAAAGTCAGATTTACCAGCAGTGTATTAACCTAATTGCTACAACCAGCAACGATCCAAACCTGGTATAACTGACAGACTTTCTTTCGGATTGTGATCCGAGCTTTGAACCTCCCAGGGAAGGGAGGTAACTCTGAAGTTGCTATTGCGGTTTGATGTTGATGATGTGCTTGTTTGAATATCGTGGGCATTTTGGCGTTAGAATTTTTGTAACTATGATTATATAAACGTTCATGTGTCTAGCAAATACCAAATAGGAACCTAGCATTGTCAAAATCATCAATAAATGTACAGTTATTATCCAGGGTGTGAAAACATGGGAGAGCCTGAAATGAAATTACATATTTTTGCTAGGCATTTATTTGTGAGAAGCACTTCAGTTCACTGTGTGCAAAATTACATTATTAACATTATTAGGTAATTACATTCAAGGTAAAGTTTCAGTAACTTGAATATTTAATGTGATATTTAATAATCAAGACTTCGTGGAAAATTCTTATTTGTTGTAGTTGAACCAACAATCCACAACATATTGAAGACTGCGGTGCATGGAACCTATTTGAGAGGTAGTCAAGTTGAGTACGACAGAACAATACCCTTTTGTTATGTCTACAGAAGGATATCATATAACTATAAACAACAAAGGCATTGCCAAATTGCTGCTTATATATTCTCCTAATATTGTCAGCAAATATTTATTCTTATGACAATATCACCCCTGTTGCAGACACCAAAGGCATGCTTTTACATTTCCAAATATCATCAAAAAACATTTATGTGTGTCAATCTCACCCCTGTTGCAGAAGTGGACTCTTCGGCTTGGAGTTTGAACAGCATATTCTTGAGAGCCTCTATACTGCCCGGCTGCTCACTGCCAGTCAGAGTAGGGGACGGGATCTGCAACACAACATACAGACAATGTATCAGAGTGTCCACTAGTTTCTTGGCCATCTGACCCAAGTATTAAACTTTATGACACCGTAGAGGAGTAATTGTATCAGTGTTCAAAACTAGGGGGGTCCTCGAGGTCTTCTCATACGGTTTGTGAATCTCGAGACCCGAAAAATCCTTAAAGTTCAGCATTAGGGCTATAATAAGGATCCCTTGACTTTTGTTTTTTTAAAAAAAAAGTGAATCTACCATCTAATTGTAATTATTCAAGCAGTGAAGTGAAAGTTGTTCCATCCTGCTTGATCTCTACTTATTTTCTACTTAGCTCCTGCACAACCTCTACTAAGAACCCGTTCTCAGTCCTTTCTTAATCCCTACCTAGATCCTGCTCAGTCCCTTCTTAGCCCTAATTAGACCCTACTCAGTCCCTTCCTAGCCCCTACTCAGTCCCTTCTTAACCCCTACTCAGTCCCTTCTTTATCCCTATTTATCCCTACTCAGTCCCTCCTTAACCCCTACTTAGCCCTACTCAGTCACTTATTAACCCCTACTTAGTAGTCCCTTCTTTACCCCTACTCAGTCCCTTCTTTACCCCTATTCAGTGCCTTCTTAACCCCTACTTATCCATACCTAGTCCCTTCTTATCCCTACTCAGTCCCTTCTTTACCCCTATTTAGCCCTACTCAGTCCCTCCTTAACCCCTACTCAGTCCCTCCTTAACCCCTACTTAGACCTACTCAGTCACTTATTAACCTCTACTTAGCCCTACTCAGTCACTTATTAACCCCTACTCAGTAGTCCCTTCTTAATCCCTTCTTTATCCCTACTCAGTGCCTTCTTTACCCCTACTCAGTGCCTTCTTAGTCCCTTCTTATCCCTACTCAGTCCCTTCTTTACCCCTATTCAGTCCCTCCTTAACCCCTACTTAGTCCCCTCTTAGCCCCTACTCAGTGCCTTCTTAACCCCTACTTATCCCTACTCAGTCCCTTCTTTATCCCTATTTAGCCCTACTCAGTCCCTCCTTAACCCCTACTTAGCCCTACTCAGTCACTTATTAATCCCTACCCAGTAGTCCCTTCTTTAACCACTACTCAGTCCCTTCTTTACCCCTACTCAGTGCCTTCTTAACCCCTACTTATCCCTACTCAGTCCCTTCTTTACCCCTATTTAGCCCTACTCAGTCCCTCCTTAACTCTTACTCAGTCCCTTCTTAACCCCTACTCAGTCCCTTCTTAACCCCTACTCAGTCCCTCCTTAACCCCTACTCAGTCCCTTCTTTACCCCTACTCAGTGCCTTCTTAACCCCTACTTAGCCCTACTCAGTCCCTTCTTAACCCCTACTTAGCCTTACTCAGTGCCTTCTTAACCCCTACTTAGCCCTACTCAGTCCCTTCTTAACCCCTACTTAGCCTTACTCAGTCCCTTCTTATCCCCTATGTAGCCCTAACTCAGATCCTGCTGAGTCCCTTCTTACCCTTACTAAGATCCTTCTTAACCCCTAATTATCCCTTCCCAGATCCTACAATTCCTTCTTACACCCCACTTCATCCTACTCAGATCCTGCTCAGTGCTTCTGGAATCCTGCTCAGTCCCTACATCAGTCCTTACTGATCCCAATGCAGATCCTACTCAGTCCAAACTTATCCCCTACTTCGACCTTGCTCACCTCTACTTTTCTCTTAATAAGACTTCGTTCCTAATTAACATCAACTTAGAGCCTGATCTGTCATACTTTCCCCTAATAAAGTATGTCCCTTACTCAATCCCTACCTACAATATCTTCAGTCCCTACTTAATCCCTTCTCAGTTTCTACTTATCTTACTCAGGCTTTTTCAAAATAAGCTATAAGTCGGTCCCTACTTAACCAAGTCCTGCTGTCATAACTTCTACAGAAGTATGTAGCCTACTCAAACACAAGTCCCAAAGAGGGACAGGTCAGCCAAAATTGGAAGGCAGAAGCTGACCACTTAAACACTTAAGCCAGGAAGAAGAGCTTACCTTCTTCCCACTGCGCAATGCACTGCCAATGTGTTTTCTGTCATCAACATATACAGGGGATTTACTGAAACAAACAACAGCACCATAAGTCTGTAACCTGATACATAAAAGAAACAACAATTCTGCAGTTTCCTCACATAAAGTAAACTATACAGTGAGTGAGCAAGTTGGGTTTTAACGCCGCTTTTAACAGTATTCCAGTTATATTGCGGCGTGTCAGCTTAATGTGCGAGGAAAGCCCAAAGTGATGCAGGCCTCAGATGTTTATCACTTCCACGAAACCCACGAGCCTAGGTATCATGAGGTATGGTGCTGACAAACCTAGAAACAAAATCAGGGCGAACCGGGATTCAATCCCACAATCATAGGTTTCTGGCTTGCCCAAGGGACGCAACTCTGCACAGCGAATCGCGGAGCCTTAGACGACTTGGCCACCCGTGCCCCCAGAAAACTATACAGAATTAAACTATTATGAAGTATTAAAATACAGAATATGTTCTCCTTTTATTTTGATATTAATTAATCAAACAAAGACCCTACTGAAAGGATTAGCCATGACCTACTATGCTCCAACCGGGTGTTCCCAGGACCGGTCTCCATCCAACACAACATCAGTGCTGGGGCTTTGATGCAGCTCTGCACCAGTGTACGACTTTGTGGGGCTGAACCTCACACGTGCAGGGCTGAACGTTGGCTCCTCACTTAGTACAGACATGTCTGGAAGAACAGCAGAGATTGATATGGCCACTTTTTATACATCATACTAATACATACCACTCTAACAAGAACACCCACCAATGGAAGGCTGTGTCTTGCAATACCCACAGCCATGACAACTACAATATGATAAAAAAACCCATAGGGTGTTCTCTTGAGTAATATTTATCATGTAAAGATATTTAATAAATGAAAGGGGCGGTGGGGTGGCCTAGTGGTTACACCGTTGGCTCGTCACTCCGAAGACCCGGATTCGATTCCCCACATGGGTACAATGTGTGAAGCCCATTTCTGGTGTCCCCCGCCATGATATTGCTGGAATATTGCTAAAAGCGGCGTAAAAACATACTCACTCACTCACTAATAAATGGATATGTTACATATGAAAAAAATATTCCTCAATGACAATAAAACTAACACATATTGTTCCAGATTATTAAAATCAAACATAACATGTCAATATAATAATCTTCTTTTGACCAAATTCTTCACATATCATATATCTTTTTATATATATTTTAAATGTTGTAATGTTTCCCTCTGTCACACAAGATTATTCAGCATAGAACTACAGAAGGCCTCAAGGCCCAGAGTACAAGATATTTATAAACCGTCATATACATGTGTACAATCTGTTCTAGGAGACATTAATCTGGTCAACTTACTCAAGTTACTGTCTTTGAGTATAGAACTAGCACCAGTAATATCAGAATGCGGTTGATGCTTCCCATCCGTTACATGGGACCCACTCTCCATGCTAGAGCATCTTGGGACAGCAGCCATCTTGGACTTGGCTGCTGCCCTTTGAGGGGAACTCCGTGTTTCAGCCTCCAGCCTCTCCAAGTACCTGTCCAGTGAGGTCTTCAGCTGGTCACTCTCAGCAAGGATCTCCTTTCCCAAAGTCTTGTCCTTGGAACTGGTGGCAGCGGAGTAAACTTTAAATCCAGGATTAGAATTCTGCAGCAAGTTATCACTATCATCTAAAGATCTAGCTCTTGGAGCTAGGTCTTTCAAACCACTAGGTAAAAAGCTATGCTTGTCAGAATACTTTGAAATTCCACTAGTTGCGAGATCTGAGAAATTCAGACCTGGTCGTGAGTCAGTTAAATTTGATTTTTCATGACCTGATTTGTTAAAGGAAATATCTCTTCTGCCATTCAGAAGCAGTGAATCAACAGTGATATCTGATTTCTCTGCATCCTGAACCCAACTAGGAGCTGGTCGACCACCAGCTAGCTGTCTTCTCAAGTCTTCAAGAGAAGCATCCAGAGTATTCACCCAGCTCGGTATCGACTTCCCTGAGGAGGCGTCAAGATCACGCACCCAATCTGGAGCAAGCTGACTAGATCGAGGATTGCCATGTCTTAAATGCACAGGTGATGGAGAAACCGAACGGCTCCTCATACGTTTGAGAATTTCTGAAGGATCTGAATGTCGAGACGCTAACCCAGAATTTGAACTGGATGATCGTTTATTCATGTGTTTGAGGACGGAGGTAGGAATGGCACTATCCACTGATGACCGGCGGGATGACAAGGCATGTTTGTTGGGCTTGACAGGTATACTACCAACTGTCCGTGTTCGACTGCGCGGGGTGTGATAGGAGTAGACATGTTTCCGTTTTCCATCTTCATCAACGACGATATTCCTGTTGGACTCGGTGGGGTTGATGCTGAGCAGTGTGTCTGTTGTCATACTGCCGATATCACTCACACAATGTGTCACAGCAGAGTCATCATCATTGATCCTGTCCAGCAGGTTGGCAGATCTAGACAGGGCATCCTCAACTGAAACATTACCATGTAACATGCAAATCACCAAAACTTATCAACCCAAACGAAGATCACATCCGTACATTACATCTGTTTTAACATGTTAAAAAAGATTAGCTTTAGATATTTTAGTGTACCACTAACAATCTGTACATACGCCCTATGGTCAGGTATGGACAATTTTCTTCATGTGTAGGGGAATTGTTCTGCTTTCAGTACTATCACAGCAAGGACACCAAGAAAGAGCGAACCAAGAGTCCAACCCTAGTCTTCATTTTAGTGAGCAAACACTCTTACCACTAGGCTATCCCACCACTCCAAATTTTCTTTGGGCAACACAGCTAATGATAGTTAATGAAGTAAAAGCCTGATCCAAGATTTTGGCAGTCATGTTGCAGTACACAAATTTGACCCGTGAAAATCCGGGGTAGAATAGGTCTTCAACAACCTATGCTTGCTGTAAAAGGCGAATATGCTTGTCGTAAAAGGCGAGTAACAGGATCAGGCGGTCAGGCTTGCTGACTTGGTTGATGCATGTCATCGATCCCAATTGTGTGGATCGATGTTCATGACGTAAATCATTGGATTGTCTGGTCCAGATTTGATTATTTACAGACCGCCGTCATAAAGCTGGAATATTGCTGAGTGCAGCGTAAAACAACAAACCAAAGCAAAAAGTACACAAATTCAAAAGATCATTTCTTGCATTTTCTGGTGACAATTTCTTGTATGAGGACTCAAACCCTTTCTATATTCTACCTTCTCGCCTTAATCCAGTCTGCTCATTCTTTTTCTTTTCTAGCAGTTTCTTCAATTTCCTATGTCGCAGGTCTTGCAAGGAGTCCTTGAGGTCATTGTCTATTGCTCTTGATCTATGGGAAGCCATCTTGGATCGCACCAGTAGAAGTTCATAGGCATCCTGCTGCTGCTTTGTCCGTAACTTGCCATCAAACTGTTGTAAATAAGCAAGAAGAGCTTCTGAGGCTGACATGAATTCCCTGTTCCCAATGAGGATCTTTCCAGTAGAGCAGTGTATCCTTCTCTCCGGAAGTGCAGTCAAATCACCAGGGCTGGAAGCCATGTTGGAACAAGGGGAGATAACTGTTGTCATCAAGAGCTTGCAGATTATCTACAAGCTGTGATCTGCTTCACACCACTGCTTCCGTTGTGCAGTTGCAACCTGGCTGAAAAGAGAAAGGCATTTGCACTTATTAACCAAGTTCAAATATCTGTGCAATTAACACATCACACAAATATATACATTGCAAGTCATTGCATTCTGTGCTTAATATTAGACTCTGGCATTTTGCTTTGTTTAAAGCAGTACCCTATCGCAACAAGGGAACATCAAGATTGGGCTTCAAATTTGGGGTATCGAAACATGATTTTGCATTGTTTTACAAGTTTTAACCACTAGGCTAACCCACTTCCCCTTAAACTCCAAGCCTAGCGAAAGGCCAATGGCGATCTCTGATAAACAGCTGAACATGTTCAGACCATAAACACGAGAGATTGCAGGGAACAAGTGTGTGTCTAGCGTCCCTACAACTGATATGATAATTACTGTTTGCCGAATGTTTCACCATGGATTTCATATTCTCGAGGGCCCTCCGTAGTGTTTGCCGACAGTTGACGTCTGCCATCTCATCTACCCATCAACATCCATGCTGCCTTCTGTAATGATCCATTGACCTCTCTCCAGTACAAAGGAATGGGCCTAAAGGACATCCACTGGATGACACTTCGCTGCCATTTGTTCTGTGACCACAGATCAACTATCATCATACATTTTTCTAACTTTTACAAATATCAAAAGAAATGAACAGACAGAACTGTTGTACTAAGAATCATACTATCACAACATAGATATGACAGATGTTCTTACTTATGCCAAGAGTTGCTTTAATCCATGGGCATTTAGAAAGAGTCAGAGCTAATTTATATTTGTAACCTATGGAGATGTTTCAATCATCTTTCACATAAACAAATATGCGGAACTGTAATGTCTACTCCTTATTTACGAGTGGGTGTTGTTTACAACATAGGCAACAAATTTCTGACCATATTGCGTCATACCATAAATAATCAAGTCTGGTCAGGCTATTCAGTTCTTGATGGCATGAGCAACGATCCATGTCCACCATGATGAAACCCAATCAGCCATGTCACACATTAGATCCTCATTACCTGGTTTAAACGACGATCACAGGATACAAGGGCCTCGGAATCCCCACAAGGGTCGTCCATTAAGAAAACTTACCTAACAAGTTGTGCTACCCACTTATAAGCATTCAGTCAAAGAGAAGGCAACACAACTGTAAATATTACTGTGTAATGTCTATTGTCTCATAAACTACTGCAAGTGTCCCCTACATTCAACAGGTAATGTAACTTAACACTTGGTGATAATTCACTGCAGGTGCCCTCCGTGAGACAGGTATTGCACAAAGGAAGGTATCCAACTACATGGAAAGTGTTATCTACAGACTCACAGATGACTGACTTCCCTGATCCTACAGTCAACATAGTAAAGTGAAACTCTTTAACCTCCAGTGACCAGAAAACCCTGAAATGTTATCATATCATCTTACCATAGCTTACTGCTGAGTTAGTACATGAGACCACACCGCCATGTTGAGAACAAAACAAGCAATTTTCTTTAACAATTCCAGTCTACCAAAATGCGAAAAATGTGAAATAGTGTAGATTACCAATAGTCTGTGAAATCTTTAAATACTCAAAACATTTCTCTCGAATTGTTTGATCGGCAATACCTAGAAGCTGACAGATGACAAAGTAGACACAATTTATGGATAACTACTTCTTTAATTACTGTTTCGGTATAAGGATCTATACAGAAACGTTGTCGTTACAGTATTTAAAGAAGTTGTTATCCATAAATTGTCTACTTTAACATTTCTCTCCTAATTTTTTTCCTAATGCTGACATGAGAGTTGGCTGGACCTGTTTTTATACTATAGATTGGTTTTGGTTTCCTAAAATATATGTATTCCATCGTCCTAGTAAAGGATTATACATGATGTACCGGCAGTACAATCACACAAGTGAAGTCTGTATTGTAAAAATATATTGTTTGTAATTTCTGACATAAAATAAATCTTACAAACAATATATTTTTACAATACATATTTGAAATGATACACAATCCATATCAAAATTAATGAAAAAGACAACATATAAGTTTCAAACCAATATGGCAAGCATGCTTACTCAACTTGTTCATATAGGAAAAATATTAATGTCATAATTATTGTAATCGTCCTTACATGGGACATTTTGCAAATATCATTTTGGCACACACAATAATTGAAACAATCAAGTTATATTTCTAAATTATTTGAAAGCAGTTGTTATACTTCATATTGCATAGTTCTTCAAACATTACTATACAAGTACTGAGGATTAAGTAAATAGCAAAAATGATATAAATTGTCATCATTGTACATGTTGTAAGTCACCATGCTGACAAGAGGCCTTGACTCTGCCCACTGATATATGCTGCCAATAAAAATGGTGACAAACATTGTTCAACAGGTGTGAATCATAAATAGCGTTCCCAGTAACCATGTTAACTGTATATTAATTCTACAAACCCCTGGATGCTTTCTTCGTGATCTGTACTTCAACCACAGCTGTCGTAGTCTAAGTATATTCTGTAGATTCCAACAAAATCTACCAGAGTAGACTAGCTTGCCTGCTGACATGGTATCAACTGTGTGCCCCAAGTCATATCGATATACACATAACACTTTCATGTACATGCCTGCCAACCATTGTCAGCAACTATCAATAAATTTTCCCCTGCAGAAATATAAAAGCAAATAATGCGTTTCATCCATTGATAAATCCAACCCAATAAAATTTCACTTTTGTTAGGATAATCATACCAAAAACATAAACATACATGTTTCCTGTTAGCAGTGGTGGAGGCGAGTCCCCTTCAGCAATTCTCATACTGCGCTGATAGCGGGGAAACGTCAGATGTACCAGCACGTCATTCAGAGCTATCTACCCAGTAATAACAAGTTAATCCAGGGGATTAGAGTTTTCCATAGATCGTACCACGGCTAAAATGGTGCTTCATTTTATCAAGAACTGCTGAGAGGACAGGATTACCTAGCCTCTCATAGCTGGAGGAAATACACAGCATTAACAGTGGGATAGGGGAACAAGTTTGTCCACGTGCATTCACCGCAGGTTAGAAGTTAATCCTAGAACATAATGCACGTTTGATGGTAGTTTACTTATTTCTATATGCGATCTCCCACACAGATACCAGGACAGAAGACATGCACAGGAAAAGGAGAGACACTTTTATAGCCATTTGTGGTATGTGGACAGATCAACAGAGGCCTTACACTGCACACTGAGGGCCACCACTAAATGAAAATGTATGCATTATGATAGATCACCCACATTAGCTTCAGGCTTCAGAATAAGGAGAGTGTGTAGGTTCACAAGACCAAGTTGTATTTTAAATTGTGTTCTCTGTTTAGAAATGCAGGGATAAAGCTGTGACAGCCACATGAATACAGATCATGACATACCCTATTTTCTTTTGACTACCTCATATTCTACAAAAACTAAAAACATAAAAGAAGAAAAGAATCATCCTTACATGTAATAAGGTTAAAATTTCATTCTCTTTTCCATGACACATTACTTTCAACTTCACCCCATTATTAACACAATGCATACAGTCTGTGCCCCAAAGTATTGAGTTTAGTAGCCCAAACATCATTTTCAGTTTAGGTTAGAGTAATCATATGGACTGTTATTAGCTGAGCTTAATAGAAGAACAGAATTTCCAAAAAGCAATCTTAGTGCTACGATGATTAAAAGCCTATGTAAAGTAAGGGAGTTGCGATCACCTTAGTGCTAACATTACTTTGTGGAACGGAGCCATGATACAAAATTGTTGAGATCTTCATTTGACTGTTGGAAGCAGAAGTCACAATGTCAGTGTCAAAAACTTTCGAGCCTGCTAGCCCAAACTTGTCTTTTGGCATTACTTTTTGTCAAATTTAGCGTGTACATATTAGTTACTATTAGTTCATCTTACAAGACAGAAATAAATTTAACTAACTCAGACTAGTCGCAAAAGTCGCAGACTGGTCTCATTACAAACACACATCAATAACACCTTCTAGTATCAAATAACACAGCTTTGACATATTTGACAACTGTCCATTCCATCACAAATACCTATTAAAGTAGTGGTGCAAGGTTGATGGATATGAACTATTTACCAGGTAAACACTCTCACCTGTAAATTCAACCCCGACTACGATAGGCAGGGCAGTACCGGTCAGTAAGATATTCTACAGATCACCAGGCATGTTATAGGAGTTCAATACACTAGCTTGTATCTCCGCACACCTCCTTTCACCATGCCTGAGCAGCCAGCCCCAATAGCGAATTGCTTCTCCCCATTGTCAGGGTACCTCCACCATGACATACACTGACACCCCCATGCTGGGCAATATAAGGGTGCCTACCCACTCTCAGTTTACACAATTCAGTCCCTACACCCATAGACTAACTGCAGCTACAATAGCTATTCCGTGACCAATACTAGAACTATCTTGATGGTTCAACTGATATGTCACAGATTCTAAGATTGAGTTCAATCAAAAAATCGTCTGTAGGTTTATGACTATATGCATCGGAGTGGGCCATACCACATGAATATGTGGAGGCCTATTGGAGCAGTGGTGGGTTTATTCATCAAAGCCGAACTCCCTTTGAAGGGGCAGAATATATCCTGCGATTGCATGAGGGTTTAAGGATGTTGTGATAGTCATCTTAACGTATGTTAGCATGATCCGGGGAATGATCGATGTAGAGAGAATAGAAGTTTGACCTGAGCCACCTCTCCGTGTTCAAACATCTCTCATATAACAACTTCAACCATTAAAACAAAGCCATCAATACCTCACAGCTGTTCACAACTACAGGTAACAAAGCCTGAAATTCCAAATTTAATCTGTCTGTATCAAGTAGGGCTGCAATGAATACACTATGAGGCGAATACAATACGTATCGTGAATATAGGGTATCTAATACGAATATTTATTTACGAATACAACAAGTCAGCAGTTGATGTATTATTTATTATATTCTGTGAAAAATACAGTGATCGCTTGCTACAACACTACCTTGG